TGGCCCCGAGGTATGTCCGACAAACGGTCCTCCTCCTCCTCCTCCTCCTCCCTTTCTCCCATCCTCTCTCTCCTTCTCTCTTCCTTCCTTTCTTCCTCCTTGCCTTGCTTCTCTCTATACTGCCTACTTACAAGTAGACCCCTCCTCTCTCTCTCTCTCTCTCTCTTTCTCTCCCTCCCTCCCCCCTTTTTCCCCGTTTCTTCTTCCTTTCCCCGTCTCTTTCCCTCCCCCCATTTTGTCGCCGCCTTACTTTTCTTCCCGGCTTGAGAAAACTGAGCCTTCGTGCCGAGCCTTCGTTTCCTCCACCTTCCCTTCTTCCACCGCTCCCTCTCCTTCCTCTTTCCCTCTTCTTCCTCCCCCCCCTCATTTTCCTTCAGGGGTTCCTTTTCTTTCGCTCGCCGCATTGAAAATCCACCATTCTTGCTTGCATCTTATCTCCTCTCGCCCGGGGAACAGTGTATTCTTTTCGCCCGTTTCTTTTTTCTCTCCTTCTTCCATCTCCAATGGGAAGAAAGGATGTATAAAACGGATGTACGGATCGATGTAAATATAATTACGGTTGATTCGTTCGTCGATCGAGAGAGGATATTTTTCTTTAATTCTCGTTTTAAGCGCGAGTTATCGAATAATAATAATAATAATAATAATAATAACAACAACAACAATAATAATAAAAGAATACAATAGGGAGGAATCGTGAAAGAGTTTGTCACGGGGGAATTTCGAATTGAAACTCGATGTTTCCCGTTCTAGGAAACCTGGATGACGTATCAACGGCGGGTTTTAAAGACTATGGAAACTGTAGACAAAACCAGAACACGGTTTATTCCGTTGAATAGTAGTACCTCCGACGGCAAATACAATTGTGGTATGCGTGTCGCTGAGTGAAAGAGGCGGACGAACATTGTATCGCCTCGGTCTCCGCAAAAATGTTCGACTAATTATATTTGTGCGTGTGCGAACACGTGTTTCACGCTTGTAGTCACTCACGGTCAATGGAGGCTCTGCGACTATCGTCGAACAGGTTGGCACACCACGGCCCTGCCGTTCTTGCGACAGAAGGTGGCTGGTACGGTTGAGAACAAAATGGGAGGAGACGGTGGAGACGAAGCAAGAAAACTCTCTCGTGGAAGAGGAGCGCTAGAGCGCTCCGTTTAAAGCAGGATGCGGAGCAAACCGGCGCGTTCTAAGTGTAATTACCATTGGCGCAATTAATTTAGCTAAAGAGCCACCATTAATTTACAATCTGACCTCTCCCTCTTCCCGATCGCCGCCCGCCCGCATTCCTTTCTCGCACGAGGTTCTCATCGATCCGCCATCCTGAATTTCGATCGTGCAAGTAAAAGATAGTCAACGAAAATAGTCACGGCTTCTTCATCGTAGTTTTCTTCTCTCCTTCTATCTGTGTAAAATTTATCCCGAAAGATTGTTGTTTCGTTGCTCGCGGGCGTTGAGAGTTGGTCGTTGAAAAGATTAGCTATTTGAAAATTTCGAATAAAGCGAATCGTTAAAATAACCTCGACGTTGCGATTATTTACGATACTTGCTTGTTATTCGAACGATATCGAAACAACTTATCGAACCTGACTTTACTCGTAACTTCAAATTTTAAATTTGCATTTGAATTTTTACGGAGCTAGCTTTCTACCGTTTCTTTTAAGAATCGCGTCAGATACGAACAACTTTTAGTTGGAGGAGGGGCGAGGAAAATACACAATGCGACTGCTCGAGCTTGACCGACGCTACCAACTTTTCCCGAATTTATAATCTCGTTACAGCTGTAAGCTGTAGAAAGGAAGGATCGAATAGCTCGAAATTGCGGTCTCCGCACGAGATCGATTCTTCGATATTCATCGCGAGACACGTGCCTTTTTCGTTTCTTTTCTTCGGTTCACCTGGTTCACTCCAAGCATCTGGTCGAATTATTTTTTTCGTTTCTTTCCCTTCTTAATATAATTTTAATTCGTAAATATTTGTATATATATATTTGAAAAAATTTGAAAAAAAAAAAGTATAGAAATACACAAATCGAGCGAGGTGAAGTTTCTACTCGAGATTGAATATCTCTCTCTCTCTCGTCAACCCATTGGTCGCAGTATTGTTACGTTTCCCCGCGTGGACCTACGTTAAAATTAGCCATTTATTCGTTGACCGGTGACATCGAAAGTCAAGCGTGACGAAAGAAACAGAGGCAGTTTGCATGGCCTCGAAGAATACTAGAATCTCGACACACCTTTAGAGAGCTACGGTCGTTCACATTGTGGATCGTGAAGTGCCGTGAAAAAGATCACGGGGGCCATTGTGCCCAGCCCTGCCTTTACAACCGGGCGGCGGGATGACTCCTAAATATTTTACAACTGCCTTACGGTCCTAACGCAAACGGCCGCACGTCAGGACGCCCATTTTTTCCTCCTCTAACATCTGTATAATATTTCACCTGGTGGGACGTGCTCGTGCCTCTTCTATAGAACCGCGAACAAGACAGTTATATTTCGTCGCGCCACCTCGATTTCGCCTCGAACGATCCTCCTCCTCTTCCTCCTTCTCCTCCTCCTCCTGCCCATCTCGCGTCCAATTTCGATCGATATTCGACTCTCTCGTTCCGATCTGAAAATTCGAAAGCTGGAAAGGAGAGAAAAAAAAGAAGACCTCGACCTCGTTCGACGCTCGACCTCGACGAATCCAGCCATAAATTCCCGGATGAGGAAACGTTTCGCGTCTGATCCGGATTGAAAAAAAGTCTGTCGAATTACGGGCGAGCATCGGGCATCGCGGCAAAAAGCGTGGAAAAGAAGAAGGATTGGAATGGTTGGGAAGGACGAAATCCTTTTTGGGGTGGACGGAGGGAGGGGAGTTTGTCCATTTGGGATCGGCCGGTGGTCCAATTAGCGCAGCATCCGATAAACGAACTCGCGGCTCGGGGTGGCTGTGCAATTGCTGGTTAGGCCGCCATATAAATTTCTTAGTAGGAGCCGGTCTCTGTACAAGCTTCTGCCAGGCTAACTGTGCCGTATACTGACCGGGCTGACTTTCTTGCGTGGCCGCGCGATGCTCACCTCGACCGGCCGGCCGCGCCTCGCTAAAGGCGTATTAAATGCCTTCCTTCTAGCCTGACCGATCATTCCGCCGACGACAGTTACTATCTGGAATTTGCCGCCTTCCGTCAAACGGAAAGTCTCGAGGAGCCAGCCACAGGCCTCTCCAGGCTTGTACAGTTAACCGTTCCATCGCGAGAGACGAACCGAGCTTTTAAACACCGACGATCCAACCAACCCCTTCCCTTCCGACTCAACCGATTTCGATCTTCCTCTCTTCGCATCGTTTCGAAGGGAATGAAGGAGAGAAAGAGAGAAAGGAACGGATTATCAACAACTTCGATCATCGATCGAATTTCTATTTTTGGACGACAAGTTACAATGCTGATTGGAAAATTAATTTTTCGACTCACCCGATTTCGATCTTGCTCTCTTCGCATCGTTTCGAAGGGAATGAAGGAGAGAAAGAGAGAAAGGAACGGATTATCAACAACTTCGATCATCGATCGAATTTCTATTTTTGGACGACAAGTTACAATGCTGATTGGAAAATTAATTTTTCGACTCACCCGATTTCGATCTTGCTCTCTTCGCATCGTTTCGAAGGGAATGAAGGAGAGAAAGAGAGAAAGGAACGGATTATCAACAACTTCGATCATCGATCGAATTTCTATTTTTGGACGACAAGTTACAATGCTGATTGGAAAATTAATTTTTCGACTCACCCGATTTCGATCTTGCTCTCTTCGCATCGTTTCGAAGGGAATGAAGGAGAGAAAGAGAGAAAGGAACGGATTATCAACAACTTCGATCATCGATCGAATTTCTATTTTTGGACGACAAGTTACAATGCTGATTGGAAAATTAATTTTTCGACTCACCCGATTTCGATCTTGCTCTCTTCGCATCGTTTCGAAGGGAATGAAGGAGAGAAAGAGAGAAAGGAACGGATTATCAACAACTTCGATCATCGATCGAATTTCTATTTTTGGACGACAAGTTACAATGCTGATTGGAAAATTAATTTTTCGACTCACCCGATTTCGATCTTGCTCTCTTCGCATCGTTTCGAAGGGAATGAAGGAGAGAAAGAGAGAAAGAAAGGGATTATCAACAACTTCGATCAGCGATCGAATTTCTATTTTTGAACGACAAGTTGCAACGCTGATTGGAAAATTAATTTTTCGCCGGATATCGTAATTCCGTGTTTCTTCACGCGCAATTATATAATAATAATAAAAATCGGTACGTTTTTATCCGTGTTTCAACAACCTCGCGTAGAAAAATACAAAATGTCGCGTGGGAAGACACTGGCCACCGGCCAAAATTACTTCTTCCGTTCGCGTTATTCGGCCAAGTTCAAAGTGACGAATAGCCTTTCGTTATCCTACAACCACCGAAGATTCCCGGATTTTAGTTTGCATTTTAGTTGGCATCCGCGAATCGTTGCCGCGTTCGCGGATCGGGCTTCTCCATTCTTCTTTCGTTCGAACATCTATCCGCTCGACACGATTTCTTTTAAGTAGGGTTGAGTAAGAGTTCGATTTTGAAATCGAATGGCCACGGGCCGTAATTTTATGAACAATAGCTGCGGCGAACTCCTCCCATTCGTCGATTCCATCCGTTGCGTTATCGTATTTTTGTGAATAGAGCGATTGAGAAATTTCGATTCCGTTGAAATCCTTGAAGAAACTGCAACTCGGAGTCAGGTGACGATTGTATAGTAAAACGTAAGTCTTTTTTACTCTCCATCCCCGTCTCCTGTTCTTATTTGGTAATCACAATGAATCTTTCGTTTATTCGTGTATAAATTTTCTATTATTTTTATAAAATCAATCGTGACATTAAACATTCCATATAGTTTAACGACGTATTAAACAATATATTAATTGAAGTACCATTGCTTTGATGTAGATAAATGAATATAAATTAATACTTATTTAATATTTGTTTAATATTTAAATCGGTACTATACTTATTATATGTTTTAACCGACGTAACAGAAATCGAGCAAAAATATTTCTCTGGCATTTTCGTTTCAATAAAATTGTCTCGATTCGTTTTGGCAAGAAAAAATAAATATATATATTCTCGTTATTCTGCTACTTAAATGCAATTATGAATACTTTTCACATAAATGTTAGATTCTTCAAATCTCTAAAGAGAAGCAATTATTTATAAAATTTAAAATTATTCCGTTTAGAAAATTTTCGTAATAAGGTGATGCAAGGTTGTGATATATATTTGCAGTTTTACGTACTACAACATAAGATCATTCCGCTAATATAATCTGTATTAAATCCAGATAACCTGTCTTTCGAAATACGTGTTATTCGATAAAAAGTAAATGGTACATGTGTACACATCGCACATGCCGTGTAAGCTCGATTTCGATATGAATATTACGTATCTCTTTAATTGTTCAAGATTTTACAAGTAAATGTATCGTATTTATATAACCGGTTAGAATGTAAAAGAAATTTGCATTGTGTGTAATAACTAGGTCAACGGAGTACAAACGAGACATTAGTTATTTTACAAACGAATATATATCTCGTATTAAATTCTTGAAATATATCCAAATTCTATTTAGCGAAAATTTATTATCGCTCTGTGTTCAATATGAAATATGCAATGGAATATATGTGATAACACTCGTATTTTAACAACACTTATTTTAAAAGTTTATTTTCAATACAACAATCATATGATTGCATTATACGTTAGATGCATTGCAAAAAATATCAGCGTCGAATAGAAGAAAACAGAATTGAAACGTGTCTATGATGTAACTATGTATAATGTAAATATTGTTTATATTTGTCTTCACGTTTAGAATAATTAGCAAGTAACTCTAATAAATGATAATTCAATGTATCTTAGCTTTTAGTAAATATTTTTCTCATATAATGTGTTGAATTGTATAACAATGTTAACAGTAATATCAACAAAATGTGTAAAATAAAATTTTCATAATGTCAAAAACAATATTTTTATTATATTCGTAACATAGAATATCGCAACAAGTAGAAACGTTTCTTTAACACGTTTCTTTATAAATAAAAACTTATTATTATTGATATCAAATATTTTGTACTAATATTATAGTATGTTGTATTTTAAATACAGATAAATTATGAATCTATAGAATTATCGCGATATTCGATCGATCGTTAATATAAATATTATCATTTTTTGTTTAGAATATTGCGTATTATTTATTCATGAATGGATAATTTGAAGTAAAGATGGAGGAGGATATAAGTTCAATCGAGGAACAGAATAAATCGTGTCGAGCTAATAAAATATCTCATAAGTCAAATATTCGAAAATTTTTTAGAGATGGTAAGTATATCCAGTCAAAAGATAAATTTCAAAAGTTTCAGATTAAATAACATGTACACGTATATTTTTTATTCTAGTTTGGCGTAGAATTAAAGTTGAAATCAATGGGGAAGAACATAAACGTTCAAACGAGTATGGGGATTATTATTTCTGTAAGTGACTATTTTTACAAATAAAATCTAAAACAATTTAACAAATATTTCAATTCAAACGGTAAATTAAGAATAATTAGGAAAATTGTCGAAAAATCGTATTTAAAAATTGTCTTTTAAATACGATAAGAAAGAAATATTTATAAAAATAATGAATTATTAATTTAATTAATATAAAAATGTGATGAAATATTTATAGTCATTATATTTGGATCATTGAAAATTCTGACACATTATAATTTTGAAAGAGAAATGATAAAAGTATATTCGATTGACATCGTATATCTTATCTGCGGACACGCGCCACAACGTGACGAACAGGGCAAATAGTGGAAGAAAGACAGAGATAGAATAAAAATATTGAAATCAGCGCCATCTTCAGAGTGCCGCAAATGAAACACAAAAAAAGAGACAGAAAATAGTTGGAGAAGGATGGAGATAAAATAAGAATTGAGTTTCAGCGTCATCTCTTGAGTGCTAAAAACATTTTTCTAAAAGATGATTCAAAAGATGGCGTTGATCATCAAGTTCTACTGCATCGTATGTTATCTTATAATGATATCTTTAATTCGAAAGATGGTATTGGTAGTTATTTCTTAATTCTATTTCTATCCTTTCCGTCTTTTATTTTCCATCTATTATTTTCCGTCTTTTAAGTTTTATAAGTTTCATTTGCGGCATTCTGGAGATGGCGTTAATTTTCATATTTTTATCATATCTCTATCTTTTTTCATTATTTGCTTTCCTTATCTATATTAAATAATAGAATAAACAGTATGAAACGAACAATACATATTAATTTATCCTTAATTTCTTAACCAACAATCAATAATTTCTAATCTACACATTTGTATCTCTAATAGTTCTACAGCTGTAAATATGCAATGATATTTCATTAAAAAGATATAATTATTGTTTATTTTTACAATTGTTGTCGAAACTTAGAGTTTTAAAATAACTTGTTTAATTGATAGCTTATAATTATATTTTAGTTTGAAGAATAAGTAATATAACAAGAAGTAGATAAAGAGAACAAATAATAGAACAAAGACAAAGATAGGATACAAGTATTGATATCAATGCCATTTTCAGAATGCCGTAAACGAAACTTAAAAAGAAAAAATGAAAAACTAAAGAATGAAAGAATGTGAAAGAGATGGAGGATGAATTGACTATCAGCGTCATTTCACGAATATCAAAGATATTTATCCTAGGTAGGGTAAAGTAGAATAAGAATTGAACATCTGCGCCATCTCTTGAATACATTTAAAAAGATAATTATGAAAAGATATCTTTAGTATTCAAGAGATGACACTAAAGATCAATTCTTACTCTATCTCCATCCTTCATTTTTTGTCCTTTCTTTTTGTGTTTCATTTGCGGCACTCTGAAGATGGCGCTGATTTCAATATTTTTACCCTATCTCTGTCTCTCTTCCATTATTTGCTCTCCTCGTCTATATTTGCTGTGCAAGATTTATCCGCTCAAGGGACGATTTTGATGTCCAATTAACTTTATTGTTTTATATAATTTTAATACTTAATTTTTTTGAATTTCGATCACCCGTGTATGGTCGTTGATGATAAAAAAAATAAATTAAATATAAAAATTTGCAATATAAAATTATGAAATATATTTTATGTAAAAATTTTTAAAAAATTATCGTATTAGTGGAAATATTTTTTTGATTTCTGGCATATTTATTTTCATAAAATAAAAATGTTGATATTTTTTATTAATCATGTTATATTTATATGTATTAATTAAATATGAATTTATAAAAAATATATTTCAATTTCGTACGAAATATATTCGTATATATAAAGCAATTATTTTCATTAAGAAATAAACACGTATATTATAACGAGTATATTTTCCTACGATTCGATAAATATGTATATCTTGAGTTATTATGACCTCAATACGCTGTATTTGGGCTAAGTAAGAATAATCGATAAGTTTATATGAAAATTAAGTACCCTTTTAAACAGGATAAATGATGTAATTTGCATTCCTTAAGAGTAATCGGTAAGGGAATGAAGTAGATTGTATAAATATTACATTTTATTACAAATTATCTTAAATTTCGTTTTGATATTTTGAAAAAATTTTAAGTAATGTAAAGTAGGTAAAGACTTTCAATATCATCGTATAGAAATTTTTTTAATTTTTTTCTTTTTAAATTATTTTAATTTTTTTCTTTTTGGTTGAGTTGGAATGAAAGTGGCGAGAGAAAGTCTCATTTGGGGAGGAGTAATAGCGGATGAAAGTTTTTGAGAGAAAGTAAAGAAAAAAAAAAAAAATAAAATTCGGGGTTTTTCCCAGTTTAGTCGATATGCGGTTGATCAATACTCGAGATTTGTAAATTACAGATAAAATTTTCGTTCGAATGAGTTGATTTATTTATACGTCAAAACACATTGATTTACATTAAATTTTTAATCGCTCTCCTTTTTTTTCACCGTCTTCTATAAATCTCTAATAATATTTAATTATTTTACTTTAATTAGCATTTTATAGCAGTCTTATATTTATTTTCATTCGAGCTGAAATTTTAATTACCCTCATTTTTGATATAAGATGAGTCTATGAAAATTAATCGGGCAGATGAAAGAATGGTCGATGCGACTCGTGACGAAACTTTAACTTGAAAAAATAATCTTGCAAATATTGTAAAAGAATACAGGATAAAAAAATATTTAATGATTACACGTTACATGATTATATTATGTAATGATTCTCAACGAATCGCTTGCGAAGTTCATCTTCTCAGCTTATTTCCCGCTACGAAGAAAGGAGGTTAACAAGCGTGGAAGTAACGCTCCATGTATGTAAATGGATCTTCAGTAGGCTTAAACTGAAGAGTCGGAGTCGATTTCGTTGTATGTGCGAATATTGATCGA